AAAAACATTGAATTTTCACAAATGTTCAAAAATCTTAAATTTTAAGAAATGGCATCAAAACTCTTGAAACCTCAAGGAAAAACAGGAACTGCAGGAATATGATCAGAAAAATAACTAAAAATTAAACATTAACTGGCTGTTTCTACATTTTTTCTCCTCTCAGTTCCGGTCTCTGTGTCTCTTCCCTTGGGCACTCCCAGGCACGAAGTCTCAAGATGCCGTGATCCGATGTCCTGCGGGCGTCCGATGATGTCCTGTGTCCCGGGGCTCAAGTTTTGAGGCCATCTTAAAATTTAAGATTTGTTTTTAAAAACATGTGAAATTTCAATATTTTTAGATAGTTTCCTGGTCATATTCCTGCAGTTCCTGTTCCTGTCTTCCCTTGATGTTTTCATTCCTTAACATTTAAGATTTTTGGAAAAATATAAATTTATTGTTTTTTTAGTTTTCTGGTCAAAGTCCTCCATTTCCTGCCTTTTCTTGAAGGTTTTCTTGAAAAATATGTTATGTAATTAATTATGTAATGTCATTCTGAGAAATCGGACAGTATCTCAAAACATTTACCAAAAAGCAAGCTAGCCTCTTTTTTGAAGTGTTGAACGGACTAGCTGAAGGATGGCTTGCTTCGGACATGCGGTTGGCTTGCCGAGTAGTTCTGGGTGGAGGCTGCTACAAACTTGGAAGAGCCAAGCTACCAAGTGCTGGGAAAAAATGCGCAACCAATGGTTCAACCAGTTGAGGACAAATCAGTAAATCTGAACTTGCCGCCTTGGTTGAACAGGAACCTTTGTGTGTGGAGGGGTGAAGCCTTGTCCTGCTGCAGTCTCTAGAGAACCTGAACTTTTAGTCAGTGCTCGCCACCTTGAGACCCTGTGCAAGTTTGTGCCCAGGCTTCACAATTCAATTTTAAGAAATGGCTAGGGCAGAATCATTGTAGTTGATTGTGTATGTGCGCATTGACTTTGGAGAACATTTGATAAACTTTGTTGATGACGAGGTGCCGATGAACATGATGGATGATCCTATGTCCCACATTGAGATGACGTCCAGTGTGGGTGATCCAGTCCGTGTGGACTTGACGGCGGCTGGCATTCGGATTGCTTTGGGCCGCCGTACTAGGGGAAAGCCGCTGTTGAAGATCACGTGCCATGGATGTGACAGGACAAGTCACAGTCCGGACACGTACATCGATGGTGATTACCTAGAATGGGCACCAGGCTATTACAAGCTCACACAGCGAATGAAGGCCGTTGGCGTGACAGAGGCCCAACCCAGCGGTCCGTTCTGCAAAGACTGCAGTGAGACTTGCAGAAGGGGGTACCCCAGTGAGAGAAAGGAGGAGGTAGTCAATAGACTTGACTCAAACAAGGAGTTCAAGTATGGGGAGTTCAAGGCAGCACGCGAGACTTACATCGAAGACATGCGTCAGCGCATTGCCTCAGGAGGGTCCAGACTGAAAAAACGCCAGAAATCCGTTCCTTGTCTGTCTTGAGTGCAGTGAAGTGTTCCAAACAATTTGAGTGTACAAGCACAGTCTCCCAAAACCAGCTTTTGGAGTGCGGCTTGGTTTGTTTCGCCAGGTTGACAAGAAGGATACCTTCAAGGTCGCCAACAAGCTTCGAGGTGTCATGGTGTCTCTGGACAGGTACAAGGAGGTCTACGGCTCACCTTCCAAGAGCCAGCGCAAGGTTGTCAAGAGCAAGAACCCTCTGACCCAACAGCTGTGTGAGGCTGTGTTTGTGCCAGAGAGGCCGACAGGAGAGTGGGACGCGGAACTTGTCATCAACCAGAGTGTTTCTTCTTCATCCGTTGTGGACAATGACCTGGATGCTTTGCGGAATGGTCAGCTGTGCAAGCCTCAGTGGCCTCCATGGTCCATGACTCAATGATCTCAATGTCACACAAAACAATATCACAGATCACACAACTGGGAGTAATGACTCTCCCGCACACACACGCACATAACACAAATGACAAACGAAAGAGTGCCCATGAAAGTTATCCATGTTCATGCCATCGCATGCCTTTTCTCTGGACACTCAGGGATGGCAGCTTCTCCAGCCAAGCACGTTTGCTGCAATCCTCCGCTCCTGATGTGTTGGCTTCTGCTTTGACCCTTCAACAGACCATCCAGAAGAAGACGGCAGAGGATGAACAGGCCAAGAAAGCTGCTGAGGAGGAGGTTCCACAGGAGCCCCAAACATCAGCCGTTGAGGCAGACGAGCAAGATGATGATGATTATGATGACTTCTTGTATGCTCAAGCTATTGCTGAGAGAGGGGAAACTATGGAAGATGAAGAGGATGAATCCATGCCATTCGGTGGTTCTACAAGTCATGGAGGGAATCGTCCACCAAAAGCTTTGAATGCCAAGGCAAAGACGGCGCCGGCGGCGCCCACACCTTCCCAGGCACGTCCAGAGGAAATTGAGGTGGCTCCAATGGATTTGGACGCCATGGGCAGCTTTCCAGTCCGCCCTGGAGTGGTCATCCCCAGCAAGTGTGTGACTGTGGCATCTTTGAGACTCACATCAGAATCATGTGAACTTTTTGCAGTGCCAAAAAATCTACCTGCAGCAGGAGCAGCAAAATGGCCAGTCGAGGTTGCAAAGCTCCGGGTTGGTTTGGGTCACTTGGAGGCCATGCTGGGTGGCACTGCTGGAGCGAAAGTCAAGGACCAGGTGGTCAAGAGCACGCTTACTGCTCTCAAGCGTCTTGGCACCGCCGCCAATGACAAGAAGCTCAAGTGCACAGTGGACACAGGCCTGTTTTCTGTGAAGTGCGCTGCTGTGCGGGAAGCTTTGGAGAAGTGCAAAGACATGAGAGCACAATGCATGGACATTTGGCTGCACTGATTGGTCGCAGTGGTTGTTGGTCAGGGCAGGGATTGAAGTTCGAAGTGTAACAAAACAAAGCAAAACAACGTATACAATAATTGAAATAACATATATGAATCATTGATTTGAATTTGAATTGAATCATACAGTAAAACACTACTGTATTTTGGGTGGAGCATTTCTTTGTCCCCTCCCCATCTATCTATAGCAAGTCCGCTCCTATATACATTCCACTCCACAGCTTTCTCCCAGGCCATGAACAAGACTGGTCCGCCGACAGCTGACAAGCTGCAGGAATCAGTGAACAGTCTTCAGAATTGTTGGGAGCGGCTGAAGCCGGGGCTGGCGGTCGGCTTTCCTGTACAGTGGGTGCAGGCAGCTGGCGCATTTCCGCTGTACTGGGTGGTCTAATCTGATTGTTTCTCCGATTGCTTGATGTTAATTGCCAATGTTTTCCCAAGATCTTCCAAGAGTTCAAAGCTTCATGTTGTCTTCATGCTTTGTGATTCACCCTTCCAACTGGCTCTGTCCAGTTCGCTCACACTTTCAGGCGTGGGTGATGTTGTCGGTCAACAAGCTCATTGGCGAAAGCTTCGAGCAGAGCAGCCTAAGTGAATCTAGCGGCCTGTCCCTTCGTCAGGCAGTGTTTCTGCCAATTACCCACGAGGGTGAAGAAGTGCAGCCAACCCTTGACAATGCGTTTCCTGCCTTCCATTTCGTTTGTTAGTTGCGGTAAAAGAAGGAGAGATAAAGCTTCCGACTTTTATATTGTTTATTTCCGATGTCCAATCAATTTCGGTCTTGTTTTGTCATGTACTGTCTGTCTTGTAAGGTTTGGCAAGATTGGAGATTTCATCTTCTTTTGCCCGGACAGCTGGCACAGTGAGGACCACAAGGTGCACAATCCGGAACTGTCTTGGGGAAGACGGGAAGGCCACATGTTGGTTGACTCACCAGATCAGATGATGTTGAAATTAATTTCATTTATTGACTGGTGACTGGTAGACTACTTTGTTGACCTATCATTCCCAGGGTACAGGCCCCAGCAATCAGTGGACTACTAGCATTGGGTGATTTGGTGATCTGGCGACAGGTGGAAAAGCTTCAATCAAAGTGGCTATGCGACATTGTGGTCAAGGCCTTCAGTGTGAAGGGCGCCACTGCTTGGGAGCAAACAGAGGAGGGGTTGCGAGCCTTTATGCCTCGTGACTTCAACCCCCTCATCGAATGCATCAATGAGAAGGTCGGGAATGTGCTGAAGATGATTTGGGCAATGCTTCATAGGGTGGTTGACTTGAAGAGCTACCTTGATCGCTTGTCTGTGGTGCTGAGCCCCGTCGAGTTGGGTGATGATGCAAAGATGCTTGCCAGGATCAAGAATATGACTCATTTCAAGAAACTCCAACAGGCTTGCCACGCGTCGGTTGCCAATGAATTGCTTGACACTGAGTGCAACAAGCTTGCTTTGACTTTGCAATCAAACATGCCCAGTCTGAAGAAGGAGTTGCTTGTGGATTCGGAGACTGGGCATGACTTCGACTTTGGCACGCTTACCTTCTTGGAGATCCTCGCTCATGTGTCAAAGATTGTGGACCTCAATTCACAAGTTGCAGCTCTACCACGCGGAGATAATTCACAGCATGTCCAGGTGCGCGAGGAAGGAAAGTCTTTGGTGGCATCCGCGCTCAATGTGCTTCACAAAGGATTGAGTTTGGGCCCCAGAAACTCAAGCTGAAGTGAAGCTTCAAACTGGTCGAGTCATTGTGTTGTACCACACTCAACTTGTACATCAAATGATTGGGATTGGGCTGAACATGCTGTGTGCTTTGTAGTTTGACTGTTTGATTTGACTCCTTTACAACAAATCAGGTGATGTGGTTTCTCAATCTCTCCTGGACATTGCTGGCGCACTTGCAAACAACCAGCTTGAGTCGTCCTCATTGTTCCCAATGGCAACCTTCCGCAATGAAGACGAGCTTGCGGATTTTGTTGGCAAAGCCCAGAGGAATGCAGACCAAAGTGCAGGCAAAAACTGCCTCTCTGCAGAGGTCAATTGGCTGCCATACAATACTCGCAGCCTGATTGTCTATGCTGCCCACGTGTCCAAGGCACTGCAACTGAAGCTTTCAGTGACTCTTGAGAGCACAGATTCCTTTGCCACATCTCTCTCCGTCAGTGACGAATTGATCAGCTTGTTCTGGATTGTGTGCGATGATGGAGTTGGAAAGCCATTCGGCGAGAACTACAGCACTTTCAAAACAAGCTTCATGCAGTTTGCAACCACGTTGATCTCCAACATGGTGATCTCTTTGCAAGATGGTCGCAGCAAGAGTGACCTGACACAATTGCAGCGGATCCAGAAGTTGATGGGCAACTATCTGTCCATTGTGAGTGATGAGTCAGAGCCAGAGCGTGCAAACATCAAGAATGCCCTTGCTTCTGTCGAGGCAGATATCAAGGCCATCCAGAGTCAGTCCCATGCTGACCTCCCAGAAGCTGATCAGGACATAGTGGATTCGATGACCAAATCATTGGGTGCAATGAAGACCGCTGTCCCAGGCTACCCTCTACTGCCCAGCCTCTCAGCAGCCAGCATGTCTGTGGTCAAGGCAGAGCTTGAAAAGACCAAAGCGACAGACTTGGGGAAAGCGTATGCTGCTGTCAGCGATGCATTGTTGAAGCTGAATGGGAAATCCCCTGAGGATTTGAACCGCATGTTCGGAGGTGAGATGCTGAAGGACATCTATGACGCTCCCAAAACTGCCCAGTCAGTTCTGGCTTGTCTATCCTGATTCTTGGCTGGAAGTTGGTCTGCTGATAATCTGAATCTGACAGAATTTTGTTAGCTGTTTTTCTGGTACTGGTAGCCTTTTTGTTTCACTTGACTTCACTGACTTCCCAACAGCTCAGGGCTGCAGGCGCTTGATGGTGGCAAGACTGATCGGATGGCGCAATTTGAGTCCAAGCTGCAGGAACGCGAGATTTCGTTGGAAGATCTCCCAGCAGCAATCAGTGAGTCGGTACGTGAATTCAAGAAGAAGGTCTTGGGGTCGGGTGCGTAGTGGTCGTGTCTTTTGGAATCTTCACAAGTCTTGGAATAAATGACGGTTCTTTATCACTTAACTAACTGAAGTTCTAGTCAGGGTTGCGCATTGAGAGGTGTCTTAGGCCAAATGGGGGGCTGACTGTGCCAGTCAACGGTTAGTGGCATGTTTGGAAGAAGCAGCCACTGCCACCCATTCAGCTCTCCATTGATTCCAAGAGATACGTATTTGAAGTAGTGCATTTCACGGAATTTCACGTCATGTTCACTTTCAAATCCACCTTGACTGGGGTGGCTCAATTTGAAGGCAATGGCAAAGTTCAGGTCTCAGGCAGTTGGTTTATTTGGGTTTGCCGTCGGTTTGCCCCCCCCAGACATTTTGGTCGGTGGAGATGGAATGCACGGGTCCAGTTTTTTTGTGTCCTGATTATTTGAAAGTCCTGTAGCCTTTGGTGCCTTCATCATCTCGGCGTTGGATTCCAGACCCCCTGGCACACCTTCACAGGTGGCAGGGCAAGGGCCGCGTGGCAAGTTCTGCAACTAATTTGCTGTAAAGAAAAGAGCAGCAGGCTCAAAGACCGGTAGTGATGGTGACAAGACGGTGACAAAACAAAGAGAAAACAAAATACGGCGAACATTCTTTACTGTAGCTGTAGCTGCTAGCTGTAGCTGTGTGCGCTTGATCGACGGTCTGTGATTGGTTTGGATGGTCATGGTCATGTTCATAGCCGTTTGGGGGGCACTGGGTGCATCTGTGCATCCAATGACCGCCTGGGGCTGGCCGGGTTGCTGACGCCCAGGCACATGTGCAACACTTTGCAATTGCAACACAGGTGTTGACAGTTACAAGGACGTGTGACGTGACTAATGGGTTGCTTCTGCAGGCCATGGAGATGGATGATGATTCTGGTCGTGATCCTTTGGATTGTCTCGAGGCACAATCATGTTGATGGATAACTTAACAATGGTCGTTGCGGTCGTTGGGTATCCATTGGCCGCTGACTCTGACTGACATTTTTTCTCAGGCAACGCAGCCCCTACAAACAATAGTCACAGCCCGAGACTTGCCTGGGCCCGGGCCACCTGCTGAGACTCAGACTGAGCCTGGGATTGACCGTGACCGTGACCCACTTGACTTCCTTTTCGATAGTGTGGCGGTGGGGTCAGCGGCAGTGGGGTGTGTGGCTTCAGAGAAACACCTCCAGCATCAGCCACAAGATGGCTTGAATGCGGCAGCAGCAGCTAGAGCTGACATCAATGGCACTGGAAGATGCTATCCGTGAGGATGTCCGCCAATGTGCTTTTGCCAATGTCTGAGTTGAGTTTCCAAACTGTGGCTCTACAAGTCCGCAACCAATCTCACATGTCTGAGGCCAGGCAAATGTCAGGGGCGTCTGCCTTGAACGACCCGATTAAAGAGGCGATGGAGGCGGACATATGCCCGGGACTCAGCAGTTGCCTCTGCCTCTGACTCTGGGTGACCAGACTCCACTTTTGCCTCACTCAAACAGAGTGAGTCATACTGATACTGATACTGATATTGTCAGTCAGACATTACATTACCGATCACCAAAACCCAACCATCCCAACTCCCAACTGACAAACGGAGAGCAGATTGAGGCTCCGTTTGCCCACTTGCCAGGTCCGCCAAAACCTGTGAGGAGGCGGTTGACAACAAAGACATCTGCTGCCTCGTTAGGGCCCGAAGAGCCAAAACCACCTCCTGCTCAGGCCTCAGTACATAGGATACTTTGCATTCAGAGTTCAGAATTCAATATTCCAGATTCCAGATTTTCTCTGCGAGCCTGTGAGTGTTAACGTGCTGATGGCTACTGCTTTGCTGGCTGCTGTTTGGTGTGAGAGTCGTTGCAGGTTGATGAAGCTACGCCGTCTCCATCAGATTGGGTGGCAAATATTTTCACCGTCTTGGGGAAGGAATTGCGGACGAATTTTCCACGCGGGTCTAAGTTGTTGTATGGCTCGGATTGCTCCGGCATAGATTCTCCGTCATTTGGACTGGGCGCCATCTTGGGAGAGCTCAAGGAGGCGGGGGGTTGGGTGTTTGCAGAGTGGCGCTTTGGATAGCTGTCAGTTCGTCAAGTGGTAAGTGACACAAGGTCACAATGGAGCATGTTTTCGCGAGCGAAGCTTCTGGCAAACTTGGGGTGCACCAGAAGAACATGATGATGCTAAATTGCAAGCCGCCGCCGCAAGTCATCTACGATGACGTTTTGGTTTGTGCCCCAGTTACTGTATGGCGGCATGGTTCATTGATCATTGCGACTCCCTCCAGCCGCAGCCTTCTGTGTTCTTATGTCCTTGTTGAGGCCAGAGATGCTTCAGAAGGGCTTGATTGGCTGTCAGGCCAAAAGGTCAAAGTCCCTGTTGTGCACCTGTATACGGGCGGCTTCGAGTGCCAGGAGTGCTGCAAGTAATAGTATTAGTCTCAAGTCCAGGGCTTTGATTTTGCTTGCTCCAGGATTTATCTGGCATGAACAATTCCCGCAAAGAATTGTGCCTCACCATCACAGAGAAGTGCGCGGCCCAGATCATCAAATCAGACCTTGACTGTGCCCACTGCTGTTTAACTACAGTGTTTTGTTTTTGTTGTTTTGTTTTGTTTTGTTAAAGATTTCGGTGGAGGTCTGGTATGTCATCCCGTACTTTGGCAGCTTCACTCCGGTACATTGAGACCAAACGTCCTGTCGAGGTCTCAGTCCGTCCTTCCTGTGGAACAATCCTGTGTCACAAACCTGTGTCACAAAAGGCCTATGTATTGCTGGAGAACATCGCCAAAAAGCTCACAGCAGAGGTTGTGGTCAGCTCTTTACAGAAGCTTTCGTATTTGGCGCAAGCATTCTTCACGAATTCAGCAAGCTGGGGGGTTCCTCAAAGTCGTACCCGTTTGTTTATCATAGCCTTGGACCCGGTGCAAGTTGATCTGGCTGAGAGCATCAGCGCCCAAGAGACTATCGCTGACCAATGGGCCTCCTGGTTGAAGGAGGGGAGAGGGCGGGCAGTAAGCAAGTACGTCAGCAGTCAGCAGTCAGTCACTCCAAGTCCAAGTTGCTGGAATCCCTTTTGCAAGGAGATTTCGCGTTTGTCATTGAAAGGAGATTTCACAAGACTCTTGGTTTGCAACAGTGACCTGAATTTGGACTTTAGGCTTCGGACTCTGAACTTAGACTTAGACTCGACTCGACTCGGGATTATGATATTTGAGTCCAGTCAGGGTCAGAGTTGGAGTTTTGAGCCTCGCTGCCAAGGGCTCATGCTCCCAAATTCAGATTCCAGGGTGAGGGAATTCTTCAACAAGCTTAAACATCGACGGCTCTCAGATGCCAAAATCCTGGAGAGCATGGAAAATGGTCAGAGTTGGCCCAAGTGCTTCCAAGAGCACCAGGCAGCAAAGCAGGCTGTTTCTGCAAGGTTGGGGGAGGAGGCTGGACATGCGCGCGCGGCCACTTTCAGGTCTGTTGACTCCACTCAACGGCGGTTTGTTCGTTCAGCAGTTCAGCGCAACACACACAAACACACTCGGGATATGGTTTGTTTGGTTAGGTCAGTTTGGTTAGGTTAGGTCTGAATGCCACACGCTGCACGGCAACCTAGGTGAAAAGGATGGCCCTAGCCCTAGCATGCCCTAGGTAAAAACAAAGGCCGCCCAATTCCAACGAAGGTCAAATTGAACAAGAAAAACGAATGTGCGTGACTGCAGAATTCGAACCGATGCAAAGGCTGGCCGATTCTAGTATAGTTTGTTTGGTCTGAATGCCACATGCCGCGCGGCAACCTAGGTGAACAAGATTGCCCTAGCACGCCCTAGGTAAAACAAAGGCCGGGCCCCATTCCAACGAAGGTTACGGTTAACAGTTTAAATTGAACGAGATACGACGAATAATGAATAGTGAATGACTGCGGAATTCAATCCCATGCAAAGGCTGGCCAATTGTTCTTTACACCACAAAATTGCTTTAGTTAGACCAGGGACCACCAGGAAATTAACTTTTAACACAGAAGGTATGTGCAGCTGATCAGGCTTCGTTGGGCACAGCTCTATGGGCCTCTTGCCCCCCGCCCCCCCGTGGCCCCCATCCCCATAGGAAGAGGCCAACCACTAACCCAGCCATTTTACAATTAGTAGGTCCGGACGGGAAGACAAAAACGGATCAAATCAAATAATATTATATCCACCGGCGAGGTAAATGATAAATTTTCTTTGTTTGGCCGGTTGGCCTGCAGTAGGTGCCACCTCCGAAGCAGCTCCTGGAGATGTACGGGAATGAGTGGAGCAAGTGCTTGCCTGCGAGGGAGCAAGATCTCCTGTACTTACATTTGTGGGTGTCTCTTGACTGGGTGACAGCCAAACAGTTTTACAACCAATCAAATTGTTTGTCGCCAACTCACCCTTGGCCCTTGTCCCAAATCATCGTCCATTTTCCATTACTTTTGAGTTCATTGAGGCTTGAGAGAGCAACTAGCCCTGCGGCCGGTGCCACTCATGATGGGGATCCTCCAGGACTTGTGTGGGACCTCACCAATGGCGTGAAATATGCCTGTTGGAAAAGCAACGCTTATTCCGGGACGCTCCCTTGCCTCTTGCGAAAGCACAGGTTGTGGCACGTTGGCCAAGCCAGGCCGGTTTTAGGACGAGAACTTCTTTCGGGGCATGGGTTTGATGCTGCAGGGCTAGCTCAGGAGGGGGTGGTGAAGGGCGACCAGGTATATGTTCCAGTTGCTCTTCCTGAGTTTCCACATTTTTTTTTTGCAATCCCAGTCTCAATCCTGTCGGCTGCCAAATGTTAGGTGCAAGTGCAGGTTGACAGTTGGTAGTTGGCGGTTGTCAGTTTCACAGACAACAGTTTACCGTAATTTACATTTTCTCTAAGTCTCTGTTGTGTGATTGGGCTGGCAAATTTCAGCTCAGGATTCTGAACTGAACGCTATCGCTGGCAATACCATTTCTGTTCCAACAGCAGCCGCATTCATTGCAGTGCTCTTGGCCAGCGGAAGCCTGAAGGGCCTGAAGAAGCAAACGAGCGTGCCGCTGCCACTTCCCGCACTGAAGCTCACAGTGCCAAGCATTGTGTGGATCGGCCACCCGAGGGTCACCAATGATCCTGCACATGAATTTGATGGGCTGCTTGCCAAGGGCGAAGCCAAGATGGGAATGAAGCGGCCAGCAACGAGCCACAGAGCAGTTGGGCGCAAAGTACAGAAAAAAATGATGCATATTTTTCGTCCTCCGAGTGAGCAGCCGTCGCCGGCACGATTGCAATCGTCGATTCCCGGGTGCAAAAAAAGACTCATGGATGGTTGGGAAGTTGGGGTGGAAGAGGTTGTGAATTCCGGGTGAGTTTTTGTCAGGGGTGTGGTTTCAATTTCAATATTTTGTTTTATTGCAATTTAAATGACATGAGTCATGAGTGATGACACAGGCGGGGGTTTAGACTCCTCTTCTGATTCTTGCCGCCGTCCCAGCTGATCGACTGGTTGGTGGGCTTGGTCGATGGCCTTTCCCTGGGTCCCACTCTGATGTGTTGCATATCCCGGTTCCCCTGCAAAATCTCTACTAGGAACAAACGAAAGAAGTGACTGAGGTGGGTTTGATGAGGAGGCAACCTTGGTTCTGAAGAGTTTGCGCGCACTTTTTCTGGGTGTGCATGTTGAATTGTTGTTTGGAGGGGGGCAAGCCGAACCCTATCCGGACCCTCTTTTCAATTTCTTGGTGAAAAAACAAAAGCAACACTCAAACAACATTTGGGTCTACGAAAAGGTCAAAAAAACGAGAAAAGCGCACATTTTATCAACTTTCCGCAAAAATCAAAAAATGTCAAAAACTGAGAAAACTCACTTTTCATCAACTTTCCGGAAAAACTTGGAAAATGACCAAAAGCACATTTTTTTGTGTTTTTATCATTTTTTGGTGATCTATGAAACGCCAGAAAGTTGTGTTTTTTTGCGTTTTCTCACTTTTGATGGTTTCCGCAAAAATTATTGACACCGGCCTGAACGGTTTTCTTAAGTTCGACTCAGGTTCTCCTCCAGTGCTGGTAGTGGTGAGCCAGCCGACGGGGACGGAGAGAGCAGCGAGGCGGGGGCAAGGCTTTGGCGGCGTTGTGCGCAGGGGGTACAGGCCGGTGAACTGGCGGTGGCGCAACGTCAGACGCTCAAATGACGTGCGCTCAGCGAATGACTCATCACTGAATTTTGACGGTTGATAACGCCCCCCCAACCGCACAAAAATGCACAAAATATCAAAAATTAATCTTGGATGAAGGTAGATGACAGTGTGTTATGGTAGTAGTAGGTGACTCAAGATAACGTCCAAAGTGTCTGAAGGCTTCCTCCACTTCCAGTCAACCCGACGCCTTTTGGGCACCACGTCCCGTGACCTTGAACCCTGCCACCGGGACGGAGAGGCTTCGGCCGATACAAGTCGCGACCGCTAGCCGTGGAGCACCGATCAGCTTCGCCGTAGCCTCTTGCTCCTAGTCGTAAGGCCAGGAGCCCCGTTCGTAGCGTCCTTGCTCCTAGTAGCGATGCCCTTTGCTGCTTGCTACGACAGTAGCTTCTGGTTCCAGTTTCGTTCCGGCAACGACTGACTGAATGGTACGAAAGTAAAGTATGATGGCCAGCCGGGCAGCTGGATCCGAAGGAATAGCTTGGGGATCCAGCCACCCGGCTGGCCAGCCACACGACCAACTCGTCGCACCGGCGAGACCATGGTGCTTTAAGAAGAGCTCTGTGTGTCGAGGCCAAGCCGTGACGAGGCCAAGCCGGGCGCCCACATGGCACAGCAACACTGAGCACTGAGAGATTGAACCTATGATAGACTCCTTCACTTGTGTCACGCCCTTGCACAGCTCAGATCAAGACGTCGAGGAAAACAACTGTGCTCTTGCGCGAAGCCTGCAAAGCATGTATGACGGACATTGTGTGATACGCTGATGTTTCACAAGTCGGCCAAGTGGATTGATCACACTCATGTAGACTGTTGACAAATAATCAAACACCCCCCCTTGCCAGAATGGCTTTACATCTCCAGATGCGGGGGTTTTGTTCATCGACATGAGATGGGACAGATGGGACACGACACCAACCTCAGGTCTGACACGATCTCGACAGCGTCTCGCCACCCACTCAGACGGCGAGCGTCTCGCACCAGGAGAGCGTCCACGCCCGACACGGTCCGCTGGTTTGGCATCATCTTAGGAGAACGGTTGAGGTGTTTGTTTACAGAGTCAAACATCCCACAACTACAACCATGGTGACCACGACTTGGGTGGCTCTTTCGATTCCGGTGATGGATTTCTTCGACCGGTTCCACGCAAACCGTCGCTTCAAGGACCCATGCCCCCCCGGAGGTGGAGAAGTCCGCTCGGCGGAGAAGACTCCGCCGCTAGGTAGCTACCTAGCTAGGTAGGTAGGTGGGTAGGTAGGTAGGTAGGTAGGTGTGTTTTTTCCATGTCCTAAACCATGCGTAAGACATGGACCTGGCGCGAAGAGAGCTTATATAAGTCATTTTTTTGGGGGGGGTTGTGATGGACATGAGTTGAAATTGCAGGTCGCTTTTTTTTGGTTGTGAACAACAGGGATGGGGACTGCATATGGCATAGGTGATAAACAACATCTGGACTTGTTGGTTGCATGTGGTAGGACGGACTGCGGATGAACATGGCGTAGACCCTGAGCCACTCAGCCTATAGTCAGGTGTGCAGAGCCTGAGCCACTCAGAGTCGAAGCAACATCCGCCAGGATGACGCAGAGCGCCAGGATGACCGCCAGGATCGTATGTGAAAGACTCGCGGAAGAAGGTCATGGCCACCTGTGCCGCCAGTGGTTGAAGCAAACTTGCAACATGAGTCTCTCATGGGCTTTCTGAATAGTAGAACCATCAGATTGAATCAGTTTTCTGGATGGATTCAACAGATCAGCTCTTTGGATTGTTCATCAGATTACTTGTCTTACAGTACTAGTATATACATATATATATGTAGAAACAGTCGTCTTGAAAACGCTTGGGACTGTAAACATCGCCCCAATCGGCCTTTGCCACGCTGCCGGAGCCGGTGATCTTGAAGATCGACGCCGTCAGCGCGCCCGAATGTCACTGGGAACGGTGGTTTCTGTCGACCAAGAAGTCTTCTCTCTTCATGCCGATCAATTGGGAAAGTGTTGGTGATTCGATGTGATTAGTGCTCCCAGAAACCACCTCCAAAATAGCCTAAAAAAAGGCAACAAAGGCTGCCCTAGGGCAGCTGGTTTCCTGGCGGCTGGTGCAGATGTCGACCTCTAAGAAAAGAGTCCCCCTTCGCAGCAGCTGAAAGGCAGGGGGCGGCCAGTGAACCATGTCTTTCCCATTTTGGTTATCTATTTTTGGTCTCCTTGAGTTGCAGGGTTACCGTTTAACTTGCTTCTCTTGTGGCTCTGGGCTCAAGTGGCATGCAGTGCAAGCACTGCGAGCATGCTTGAGCCGAAAGATGACGAAGGCACAGCTAGATTTTGTCGAACACTTGGAACTTTGCATTGGACAGACTGATGTTGGCAGCATCAATGGCCTCTCACCTACGCCCTTTGTAGGGTGATGGGGAAGGGGATACTCCTGGTTGAAGAGGTAAGTAAGTCTACGGTACCTTTTTCATTCTTCGCCCTCTATTCTTCCAAATGCCGTTTGGTCGGAGATCATTGGTTGGTTTGGTGACAGACCAGGACGTTGGGTTCACGACCTGAGCCTGGTCAAAATGTCCGCCTGGTCGGGTCACAGATATGGGAGGGAAGACGTCGCCCCTCAGATTGACCGTTGATGAATCGAGCCTCCCCGTCGACATGGGAAGACATGAAGCCCTCCAAAAAGAGGCCGAAAGACGGGTGATTTTTTCATTCAGAACACCGTCTACATCGACTGGTCGAGTCACATGGAGTTGGGTGGTTTTGTTTGTCCCATCCAGGGCGAAAGGGGCGTGTATGTGACGGTTCGACACCGCGAGCGAGCTCTGTGACTGCTGGGTTCGACACACATCAGCTCTTTCGTCCGGATTTGACGCCCGGTCCACACGGCGGCAGAGAGTTGACGCGTTCAGGTGATGTGCTGAAGAGAGTAGGCCTCTCTGCTGGGGGCGCCCGGTCTGACCGAGCGGACGGGGCGCCACGCTTGGACACGGCTCCTCTTGGAGCGAGCTCCTTTGGGGCGAGCAACATGCGATGTTCTCATGATCTGTCCGGGTGGAGCATTCCAAGTGGATCCCTTAGATGTTTCGAGAAACATGCGAGAGGATGGGGCCCATACATTTGGATGCCAAAGGTCCGATTGTTCCGATTCAGCATCCGAAAACAACGACTCCAGCAGCTCAGAACAGCGCTTCCTGTGATCAATCACTCGCACAGACTGGCGCATCTGCCAGCGAGACCAGCCTAAGGTGCTCAGCAATACCAGCTACTGGACGCGCAGCAAAGAGGCACCGATGTTGCATCCAGAGTCAGCCGTTTGGACCCCAACCGCGGTTGGTTTCAGATCATCTGAAGAAGTTGGTTCCACTGTGGTTCTGAAAGACCTGGTTGGACGACCTGCTGTGGTGGTGCTGGAGGGCAGGCGGTACCTGCGTAGGGGACACATAGGGTGCCGTTGCTCCCCCTTCCTTTCACGCCCTTGCCACCTCGACCTTCCAATCCTGCCGGACTGTTGGACGGTTGTGGGGACCCTATGGTGTAGTGCTTTGTCCTCTGTCTGCTTGTAGGTGACCTTTCCCTGTCTCGTGCCCTCTCGGAACCTGTCGCATCAGCCATATCTCAGACACACAGTCACAGACCAGGCAAACGACTTCCTGACACAGACAAATCACCTCGTGTTGCCTCTGCTTTCCTTGTGACCAAACGTTGACCTGGACCTTCTCAGCTCGTTCACCGAGCTCCGCTACCACCTGAAAAACCTACTACCTTAGTAAGTAGATTACAAACGTCCTAAACACAAAGCAAAAGCACGGTGACTAAGGTCACCGCTCGACAGAAAACCGATTCACTGGGCTTATTTAAATCTCAAGACAGTGTCAAAGGACACCGCAAGAGACAAGATAACTTGTTGCTAACGAAAGAAGTCCGCACCCGCCCATGGGTCGCACATGGAAACACTCCAGGAGGCTTCCGATGCCGAGCAGCACTTGACCCAGTTGCGGCGGGAGGCGCAACTCCGGCAAGCGCGCTGTGAGGGGCAGTCGGGTGGCTCAGTTCGGGCCTAGGACTGAGTGTGTTGCGAAATTAGGAGATCATCTTAGGCAACGCCGCCCTTTTCAAAGTTCGGGACATGGACCAAACACTTGATCAAAAATCATTGGGCCACCACCCGCGCGCGCCTTCTGTCCTAAGGCTGGAGACACTGGCGAGAGAAGCCAAAGAAGAGCAGGAGAAGCGACATTCAGCCGATGAGTCTGGTCTGAAATGTCCAGCTGAAGCTCAGCGAATTCCTGAAGCAAACGCAGTATACTAGGATGATAACATCACTAGACCTGTCAAGATCCCCATGTTTGTTATCTCAAACACACTAATTGGGCATCCAGACAAGCTGACCTTTCAAGCAAGTTTGACTGGGAGAAAAGAAGGCTTCTCCAGTAGTCGAACAGCGGTCCTCACTGTGTGGGGCCCAGTCATTCGACTCCAAGTCAGGTAGGCCTGAGTCGGGATTTCGTCACATGCAGCCGCAGGAGCGGCGACTGATCTCCGATAAGATTAGTGAAGCCCCCAGAGAGGGTCGTTGGCAGACACCCCTGGAGCGGTTCAGGGGGTCCCACCGAAGAGCGGTGTTCAAGCGGGTTGCAGATCGACTGGTACTCGTACTTATAGAAAATGAGTATACATATATATATAATCATTTGCTGCTATGCTGATATGCTCAAGCTTCATTTTGTGATGCTTCATACGCCTTTTTGCCTGCTTTCGACCCAACTAGGGGTCTCCCCCCAACCGCCCGCCCGCAAACCTACACCGCTTCCGAGCGCCAGCGGAGGCCGGGAGCTGGCCAGCTTGCGGGAGGAGCTGCACCGAAAAGATGCCCAGGAAGAGGAGCGTCTGCGCCGGGAGAACTCAGGAGCCACTGGCCGCGGGGGAGTTCTGCACCCCCCCCTAGACGGGCGAGCGAAACAGCGAAGTACTGGGTAGAAGGTCCCAGAAAGTACAGGTAGAATGGGCCACAGGATTCACAGCCTTGGAATAGGCCTATAGATGCCCAACAAGTACAGTAGAATGGAATGGATCTTGTAGAATACGATAGCGATGCAGACACACCGCCATTCACTGATTTGTTGCACGAATGTGTTGCTTTGTCTGACTAATCACACAGCATCATTATATAACATAGTATATCTATCATTGATAAACATGCAACACTTTTTTTTTGTTAATATACAACTATGATCAACTATGTATATAAGCCGTGTAGTATATGTATACGTTTCTCTTATTTAAACCGGAGTCATCTACTCCTCCGAGGTCATTTGTATCGAGGCATTCTGGGTCCGAAAGATGGTGGCTCGGCGGAGCCCACCTTCAGCGCCGACCCGGACCGCGGACAGCGTCGCGGACGGCGGCGGCGCGGGTCGGTTTGAGCGAAGACGCGAAGACGCCTTCAGACGAGACCAGTTGCAGTGGCTGTCTTTTTGAGACGAGACTTCAGCACCTTGAAAACGCTGGTTTCTTTTCTTCTAAGGACCTGTGCAGCTTGGCGGCACGTGGGATTTTCAACCATTTTGTACTGTTTTCACAGGAGCTCCGGCGACGGACTCGCGGCTCACGAGGTAGGTCCCAGCGAGTCCACAAGAGGGGGGGGTGGAATGTAGGTTGGTGGAAAGCCCTGCCAGACCGCATCTGACCAGTGGAGGTGACCACTGGAGTATACCGTGGTTTTGGAGTAGATGGCACAAATCCTGAAGATGTCTTTTAGATGAGGGTCCATACAAAGCACCGAACTTGGGGATTGTGCCATCTACTCTGAAACCACTGTACTATCCTGTGAATTTGGATGAGCTTACTTGTACGTGAGGTCTATTTGTGTAGTGGCTTTTAACTCTTGGGCCGTTTCATCAAATGTTGCTCCCCTTTTCCAAGCAGCCTGCAGGCAGATGTCAGACTTTTCACTGGAGGACCTCAGGTGGGGCACGGGGATGGATGGGGCATGAAGCAACGCGGTTCGCACCTGATTTGGCTGTGGGGTTTGGGGTTTTACTGGATCCTTCCCAATGGCTTCTCCTGTGATCCGCCCTGACCGCGTTACGCGGCACCAGTCCACGACACGTCCAACACGTCACCCGCCCGCATGACTCGGTCTGTACAAATGCTCTACATCATTGTAGACGACAGTTGATCAATCACTCCCTCCATATGGAAGAGGCTTTACCATCCGAATGAAGAGGCTTGACACTCGCAGACACCGGAATTGAAACATGGCCCCCTCTTCCAAGATCCTTTTTCCTATACAAACCGGAGATTCCCCACTTCCATGTTTGTTGGGTGCAGGGTATTCATCACGGGTGGTCGGTGCGCAGGTCCAAGCCCGCTCCGCTGATCTACAGCGTGCGCTCGGCTTGATTGTTGATGTGCAGATTGGTCAGATGGTCGGCACGGCACCTTCTCAAGGTCCATGACACATTGCGGCGATGGCTGATGTTTTTGGTGTATACAGGTACTTGTTTTCATGCGGCTTGTGCACATGAACTTGCTGAGTGCGACTCCAGAAATAGAACTTGAGCGGAACTTGAGCGGACGAATGGAACGCGCCTAGGAAGCCAAGTTGCTGACAGATGATTGGGAAGAGTCCCTGTTCAGAGGTGTGGATGCTCAGAGCTCTCAGAGAGCTGGTCACTCTCTGATGATCATTTCACTATGCATATCACCGGATACCCCACTGAAAACTCACCTAGACCCTTCTCAAACCACTGGTGCAGCTAGAGGAAAACCACGAGTTGTTGGGGAGTGCCGGGAAAACCCTCATCGGCGCGAAATCGCCAACGGTGGCCGGAGCCCAACACGGACTGGGGTTCAGACCGCCCAACACGGCGGTCAACGGGGAACGGGGCCATGGCCCAGCTGTCCAGCGACTCATTAGACTGGTCAGACCCTTGAGAGAGCAAACGGTCCAGGTGAGCGTTTGCGAGCAGCTCGCAAGAAGGCTCGACCCTGAGATGGTCGACCGTTCTGTCCGACAGGGACATGTGGTATGTTCAAATCTGCTTGTGGGACGGCTCGCTGTCGACATGTTCAGGCTCTTCTGGATCGAATTCGGTAGCGGTTTGGACCAAGGTCCATGCCACCAAGGTCCATGCAGGACCTGGGTGTGGTTCACTTGGCTGAGAAAACTCTTCTTGCCCAACCTGAGCGAGAGCAAGCGAGAAAGGATTTGTTGCTTCTTAATGGAAAAGAACTAGAACTCTTGTGGCTCTTGTGTCATTGCAGTATAGGTGCTCAACTCGAACGATGAACCCGAGGAACCTGATGGACCAAAGTTTGTCTCAGTCCCAAATCATCCTGCGAGCGACTTGCTTCGGAGGACTGGATGCGCCTGGGAGCGCTGCAATGCGTTTCACTCCAGGCGAGGAGCTGGTCATGTCTGACATGACCAGGATGAATAGGATCTGAGGATCTGAATAGGATCTGAATAGGATCTGGCTATCTTCGGTATCACCGGGTGATGACTGGCCAACACTCCGAACGTATTGACCACCGGGATGGCGGTCCGGATGTCCGAGGAAAAGACGAGGCCGACCAAATGCTTCGAGACCGGATCCCAGGGACACCACGTGACGAAGCACACCGCGACCGCGATTGACGACGAAGCACCGCGCTGGACGTGACGAAAGCACCGGTCCAAACCGTTTGGTCTTGTTGACAGACGAGTCAGTTCATTGCCGTAGCGGATGAGGTGCAAATCGTTCACGAAATGGAAGACCAGGTTTGTTAAGTTGCTGATCACTTGAAAGGATACGATGGCCATATGATGTGCTCATTTTCATGGATCAGTCGCAACTTCCCAAGGGTCCTTCTGCTTTTCACCGTGAAAGCATCGCATCAGTTCCATATGACAGATTTCCAGGACTTATGCCACATTTTTAACTGCCCCCCCGACAGTGCCTTGCCTTTCCACTGACAGAGGGCCTCATGTCATGCGATGAGCGCAAATAGCACCCTTGTAGACAGCGGGCGCTTCAATTCTTTATGTGTTTGTCTATGTTTGTGTGTATTTGATTGTATTTGTGTGTCTGTGTTTTCCATTCTTCGTTTCCCCTGGTGGTGCTTCTTTTGTATGTTTTTTTGTTGTATTTGTTCCCTGCACCGCGGACTGTGACTGTGGTCGGACGTGGAAATGGTGCCACCGTGGTGCTACCCGAACACGGTGCCACCATAGTGGTCCAAGGATTCGACGTTAAGAGCGGTTAAAGCAGAGGCGAAAGCTGCCGGCGAACGGATCCGTTTTTGGACCTCAAATAATTCGAATTGGGAGGGAGTCAAAGCCCTACCTTCCCAGTCAGTCAATTGACCTTGTACTTCTTTTTTGATACTGTAAGTGGCCTTTAAAACAAATAAAAAGTTGGTTTCGTCCACTCAAGTCCATTCTTATTTTGCTTCACCTTTATATATTTGCCAGACAAACTCTGGCTCGGGAGTCATCGGCAGTGAGACGAAGACTCCCAGAATTGATCAAAATTGGTTGAATGAAACATCCACAGGACCTGGTTTTGCATGGGTGGCATGGGGGTGACCCAATCTCCCCAAGAATCTCATATTCTAATCCTGACACTATACTCGTGAGCTTGAAGAAATCCATTGAACTCCGGCCGTGAAGAGTAGCACCGCGAGGTGCCCACCTCACTCAGGTGAACTTGGCTCGCTTGGAGCGGCTCGAGCGCTTTGGCCTCTGAGATTGGAACCTGAACAAGTGGGCCGACAGGCCAGAACCCCTAAGAGTAGGGATGTTGAGGGATGGTTCAGGTTTTTAGGACATCCCATACCATTCCCATACCATTCTTATTAAACGTTATACTATTCTTGTTGTCTCGGCGGTTTCACACCTCGAAGACAGCTCATAAATCCATGCTCTTTTTTGCTTTTCAAAAGGAGAGGAGTACGTCGTCGTCGTTACATGGAATCCTTCCGCGGCACGCGCGGCACGGTGAGAGTCCCATGGGCAGAGTCCCATGGCTTCACGGCGACATCCAAGCGCCATTCGTTTCCGTCACCTTCACGTGGTGAGCCGTCACCTGGTTCGTTCGGTTGAAGCATGCGTGTTCACGAAGAGGACTGTTGAAACCAGGCCTTTCTCCGCCTCCAAACACATATATGCAGCAGGCTTTTAAACTAGAAACACTTGGTGACGGATTGCTTGCTTGGATCGATCCTGTTGTACAGCTTGCAACCCGTGCACTGGCAAATGTCATGTGCAACTAGGTCTGCCATTGGCAATACTGTTGTAAGATAGAGAGGATTTGGCTTATCTTGAGTACTTGCTGAAAAGTTGACGTGGGTGACGGTGACTTGTTGACAACTCCTTTCTCGCCTTCCCTTTCTTCAACAAAACCCGTGAAAAGTGCGAAAACCGTGCCGATCGCGCCTGGACACGCTCCCAGGAGTCGCCGCGCCTGGCCATCCACGCTCCCCAAACGCTCAGATTTCCGCATGGACATGGCATGGCTGGACATGGCGACAGCTGGGCCGCTGGTGACTTTATGGCTCGACTGTAGCGAGGGGATGGGGGTCTCTGCGAGCTGTAGGCAGCTCTCTCTCAGCCCGTAGGGAAGAGTCCTGGCCGAAGAGAGAACGCGAGAGTCAGTCCACGCAGTCGGTGTCGGTGTGCGTATGTGTGAGGTTTGTGCAGGTTTGTGAAGTGGCTGGAGACGTGCGATTTCGCTTGTGCAGTGTTGATCACTGATGGGAGACCAAATTGAAAGGTCCCTTTTCACCTTAATTCAAGGCAGCCAACCCCTAGTGCTGCGGGTGAATTGAGAATAATGTTCCAGAATGTTCCAGACATTTTAAGCAGGCACCCTCCAAATTTCTTGTGCCGCTGAGGAGAGCAGAGAGCCCGGTGCCCAGAACGACAAATCGTAGTGACAAATCACAGGGTCTGACTCCCAAACAATCATTGTTTTCTTAAACGAAGGATTTGACTCTACAACATCAAGTCAACCATTTTGTTTGGTTTGGCCAGGGTGTTTTGTTTGGTATTCACATACAGTAGACATGTTGACATACCTCTTGTTGGCCAGAAAACCTCCACTTTTCCTCCTCCACTTCCCGGCCGAAGCCGGCGCGGTGCGGTGTGCAGGTGTGCTGGCCCTAGCTTCGCCACGGAGAAGAAGAAGAGGTCAGATGCACCAACGGTCAACAAGTGGGAGGCCCCAGGTGGCTCAGAGTGAATGCCAGAGTCATCACTCTTCAAGAGCTCCCATTTTGTGATTGATCAATGTGATCTATGATGAATAATATATATATATATATGTATTTCTAGGATTTTTCTAGGGTGTTGTATATACCCCATCCCATTACTTGTAGAAGTCGGTAAAATATGATCCGTATTTTGGGAAAGGTCTTTACTAAGCATTATACCCTATGCATTTCATGAAACAATCTCAGATCTGTCAGTCAGCTCCCCCAAGTTGTTGCTTAACAGACCAGCTGCCCGTGCTTATCAGCCTTCTCTTCTGAGGAGTGGAAACATGAATAAGTACGATGTTCTGGGAGTCGTGGGCGAGGGCGCCTACGGCGTCGTGTTGAAATGCAAGAACAAGGAGCTGCCGTCGAGCCCGGTCACCGCGCCGACGGACGTCACTGGTGGCCGGAGCGGTGGCGAGTCTTGCGCCGGTTGGAAGGACACCAATGAAGTGGTGGCCATCAAAAAGCCCTTTGCCTCAGATGGGATCGTGTGGTCTCGATGATGCCGTCATTGGTGATTCGATGGGATTGGGATTGGAGGTGGTTCTTCGATTCCGAGGTCTGGCTAAGATGGTGCTGGAAGTCCAGTCAGGGCTCATAGACTACCCTCCTTACAAGCGGGTTGTCCAGGTTTTCCAGGTGGGGGGTTCGTTCAGGAGATGAAAACGACCGAAGTTCTGCCGGCTGTCTGAACGATGATCGACCTATGGGAACCGACGAAGCCCGTCGGGGGGTTCCACGGGGCACGAAACGCCACCTCGGCGGCTCGGCTTCACCGGTCTCCACCGCTCGGCTTCACGAGCCACCCGGCCGGCAAACGAGGTTCAAAGAATCCGAAGAGGACGAAGTGGTCCGGAAGACCACCTTGAGGGAGGCGACCCGGTGACCGCGGAGGGAGGGGTCTGCCACGGCACGTGCGTCCTTAGGGCGCGGTAGGGCGGGCGTTCTTTGGAAGTCCGAAGTCGGCGTCGGCGTAGGCGAGCGGGTGAGGCGATCCAAAGAGGGTTAAAAGATATGATCCACTTGCTGGGTGAAGACCCTGAAGCAAGGGCCGAAGCATGATCACTTGCTATCGAATCGCTGGATTCGGAATGCGCAGGTGAAAATCCTTCGAATCATGCGACATGAAAACATTGTGCAGCTCAAGGAGGCCTGTGGGAAAGGGGTGGTGAATGAATCATCCAGATTTTTTGGCCTAGTTAGTCATCCCCAAACAGATAGAAATCTTTTGGGAGGGCAGTGACTTGTCCATTTGTTTCATGAAATTCTATTTTTTTTCCGTACAACTTCTGAAACTCTTCTCCAGCTCCAATCAAACAGAGACTGTGCGGCTTTCCGTTGAAGAGGAGAAATCAGGGCGATTTTGACAGCAACTATTGGCCTTCCTTTGAAGGCTTTTCAGGAATTCATGGATTCATATGAAAGAAGATGAAAGCAGTGTTTTTCAGATTTGGACTTCAGCCACTGAGCAAAGGACAACAAACATTGCATGAATATTGGCAGACTCAAACGCGTCCACGCCACACGTGGAGATGGCTGGCTACGAACCGTCGTTTGCCAGTGAAGGCCTTCCGAAGAAAAGGAAAGCTTTACCTCGTCTTCGAATTCGTGGAAAAGAGCATGCTTGACATTCTAGAAGCCAAGACCTGAGCTAAACTTCCGCAGAACTAGATCAGAAGTCTTCCGAGGTCGTGTCACTGGTGTAAGAGTCCGAACTCCCTTGGGCTCGGTCTTTCGCCCCAACAGACCCGTCGGTCGCTCCAACCATCCGCTGACGGACGCGGACGCGGATGCGGTCTACACCGAGGCCAACCCCAACGGGGTGGACACCGAGACCGTTCGGGTCTTGACATGCCAACTGGCCGGGAAGCTTGGTGGGAATCACGGGTTGGTGGGTTTAAACACGCCAGTGGTGTTTCGCACGCCCAGTCAACCAGCGGAGTGGAGTGTGCTGTTCAAACCTGGCAAGGTTCGAAAGTTCGGACCAGTCTACTGGGCCCTGGGTGGTAGGACGCGTCCACACACCTGAGAACCGGCGTCGGTCTAGTCTTCGGATCACCCGAAGGGGCAACCGAAGCATCGATGGTCAAAGCTAGTGGAGCAAATAAGCTCTCTTTTCCAAACGTGTGCGGCACAAACGAACACTTCGGAGCAGGGGATCTGAATGGATGTTGGAGGCCATGACCAATAACAAGAAGCTACTTGGAAGCCATTCCATTCGCACCTGAACGAGATCCGTCCGACGAGGCTAGGGCCATTGAGTATTGTCATCGTCACGATGCGGGGCGCCCAGCGAGCACCGACTGCAAAACGAGTCCGGACAAGGTTCACGAACGCAAAGAGCGTCTCGTTCTGTCTGGTGACAACCTCTGGTTTTCTAGAAGTGCTGTACATATGCAATACGATGCAACAGGATGTAACAACAGCCAAGCAGCCTGCCAGGTAATTCACCGTGACATCAAACCGGAAAACTTGCTTAGTGTGCACCTCAGTGTGTTGCTGCGAGAGGACATCTCAGAATGATGGTCAAGGAACATTCACGAAATATGATACAGTACTTATAAAATCTTATAAAGGTGAACAAGGTGAACACGTCTTGGCACAGACACGTGGCCTACATGTGTGTCGCCAAGTCAATCCTGCCGACAACGCACTGCGTCTTTGCGATTTTGGTTTTGCCCGGACCATGAGTCGCGCTCTCGGTTGCAAAGGGTTGGCACAACGTATAAACCATTTCAAACGCTACTAGGTTGGAGGCCATCGCCACTAGGTTGGAGGCCATCGCTATTAGGTTTGAGGGGCTTGTGCCAGTGGTCTTTGAGCGCCTCCCAGGTGCTGACACGCCACTGACAGCCGGCTCCCCAGGTGGTATTGAGGTTGTGTTGAATGAACGTCTCTATAAAGCAAGCATGAAACCTGGAACCTGGGGACCCCCAAAACATCCAACCATTTTAAGCCCATGCTGTTCAGAGTGTCCACCCAGAGCTTGTTTTTTCCTGTTGCATGGTACCTGACCGAACTACGTGCTGCGCCCAGGACTACGTGGCCACGCGTTGGTATCGTGCACCGGAGTTATTGCTGGGATCCACCCACTACGGCAAGGACGAAGAAAGAACGGAGAGAGGCCTTTCCGTGGAGTTTCAAGGGAAACCCTCATCTTCAACCCCCAAAACTATAGGCTTCCTGTAGATGTTCCTTGAAACCAGTTCTGAGAGGTCTGGCGGAAAGGGCACTTTCCAGCCCATCAGCTGGATCTATGTCCGGTTGTCCATGTGTCGCAACCGGTCATTGGCCTTCATCCGAATAGGGTAGGCTAGGGCCTACGATAGGCCTATATAGGCCTATGGGTAGGCTAGGCCCCGGGCCATCATTACCCTTCATCCCCCCTTATTGTTTTTGCAGTGGCCATCCCACCCCTGTAATATATATATATATATAAATGTGAGTGCTATGCAGTCCCACTGGTAACGATTCCTTCAGGGGATCTACC